GTGTGTGTGTGTGTGTGTGTGTGTGTGTGTGTGTGTGTGTGTGTGTGTGTGAGCACGCACTCAGGTGTACATTAAGGACAAAGGAAAACGAATTGAAAAAAAATAAAAATCCAAAAAATCAAATGATGACGCTTCCCACACCGACATCACCGGCCGGCCACTCGGTCTCGCCCCTCGCTCTCTCGCTCTCTCGCTCTCTCGCTCGCTGATGATGATGATGATGATGACGACATTAAAAAATAACAGTAGACGTTTAATGATGATGTCAAAATCTACGAGCAAACATCAAAAGCGACCAGTCAAAAACGCCTTTTATCGTTTCCCGCTCTCCCCTGGTGGATGCTCCATGAGCCGTGAAATACCGGCCGGTTCGTCACATCAAAGCCCGCAGGACGGCCGGGGCGGATTTTTCAATTTTCACCAATCAATAGATGGCGGCAGCGGCCATTGTTGGGGCGTCCGGTGGAGCAGTTTTGCCGATTCATTGATTGTTCATTTAGAGTGATCGAGGGATGGATGGATGGATGGATGGATGGTGAGTGGGTGGGTGGGTGGATGGATGAGTGGAAGGGTGGATGGATGGATGGATGAGGTGGTGGGTGGACGAATGAGTGGGTAGGTGGATGGATGAGTGGGTGGATGGATGGATGGATGGATGAGTGGATGGATGGATGGATGGATGGGTGGTTGGTTGGATGGTGGATGGATGGATGGGTGGTTGGTTGGCTGGTTGGTTGGTTCACTGGACGAGGGGATGGCGAGGGGGAGGGGGCGTCGTGATGATGAGTCATAAATTTATTGTTGTCGTTTGATCTTTGTCAGTCGTGATTGACACGGTTTGGGGTCTTTTAAGGAGGTGGGCTGCTTTGGTCGTGTTGAACTCAGCGATCGGCAACGTTAGGCGTCGTTTGGGTCATATAGGAGGCGGGGTGCTTGGATGTTGTGTGTTAGGTGCCAACCCAAGTTGCATGGGATATACACAAAAATAACACTACAAAAACCGCCCCAAAACCGTAGAGATAAAGATACAGATATTTTTCCAATTTAGGAACGGAACTCATGTTTTCGCGTGCAAGGTGAAGAACTTGACAAGTACATCCAAGACGCCGATGTCATAACAGTAGTCTCAGCCCAAAATCGCACGAAATCGGAGTGAAAGTGTTGATTTTCTAAGGTTCTATCAGTCAGTATGATATCTGAAATACTTTATACAGCGACAAAGCACTGCTGATAAAACCCTATAAATTCTTTGCTATATCGACAGGCCGAAGGGCTAGAACCCAGGTGGCCGCAGGATCGGTAAAGTAAAGGAAAGCAAAGCAAAGGAAAGCAAAGCAATGCTAAGCTAAGCTAAGCAAAGCAAAGCGAAGCGAAGCGAAGCGAAGCAAAGCAAAGCAAAGCAAAGCAAAGCAAAGCAAAGCAAAGCAAAGCAAAGCAAAGCAAAGCAAAGCAAAGCTAAGCAAAGCAAAGCCAAAGAAGAGTAAAGTAGAGTACAGTAAAGTAAAAATAGCCGGTATTACCGTGGATACTGTCACCGTGGGTACTGTTTGTGGTATGTATGTCTGTTTGTCTGTCTGTCTATCTGTTTGTTTGACTGTGTGCCTGAGTCTGTGAGCGTATGGAATGGGAGTCGGTTATGAAAAGCTAGGACAACACAGCAGTCATGGGTTGATGGAGCAGAAAACAAACCATGAAGTCCCTCGACAGAATTGAGTCGCCGTATTATTTGGTTTGACAAAGTGGCCCTTCGTGTTGTTTGTGTAACTGATCACGCTTTTTTAATTGTTTTGTTTTGTTTGGGTTTTTTCTGTTCTTTTCTTTTAAAAAATATTTAAATTGAGTGTAACGTCCTACTAGGCGCAGGTGAAATGTCAGTTTGAAGACAGGTTGGTGCGAAAGGCATTCGGACTTACAAAATTGGAGGTTAAAAGTGTGGAATCTTTTTTTTAATATTATGATTGTAGTCTATTTTGTGTCTAGTAAGGCGTATAATTGGTCGCTTTTAAAGACAAGCGGGCTAACCCAGATTTCGGGGGTTTCCAGAAATCTTGATCTACACCAAAAGTAGGAGTTGCCCTCCTATAGGTGAAGTTTGGTTACATTGGTGTGTATATTTGTTCAGTTAATGAGAAAACTCTCATTGTCTTTTTAGAGAAACTGAACAATAAGTGTCCAAAAACTTTACCAACGATTTTCTCAAAACAGCATTTTTCGGGATAGCCCCCTTGTGCTTAAAAGCGACCTATTTAATGTAAAAAGTTCCCCCTCTAAGGTCCTGAGTGTCCATTACTGACGGACGGTGTTGTTGTTGTGTTTCTCTGTGGCCCCCGATAGATAAACCCACGGGGAATGGCGGGGACTCGAACCCGGGCGGCGAGGCAACCACGCGACGGACCACAGGCTGGAACCCGGACACTCGGACAGGTAGGCCTCGAGACACGCTGCCCCTGAACCAGGAGCAGGCAGCTGTTCTCACTACTATAGACGCTAGTAGATCTAGACACAGTCGTGGCACTGTTATAGTGACACATGACACATGTGTGTGTGTGTGTGTCTGT